GCACATTGAATTTTTATTGCCCCATGTGGAAAAACTTCTACAATTTCAAAGGGACCAGACCATCTTGATTTCAGTTTGCCAGGGAAAAGCTTAAGCCTAGAATTAAACAATAGCACTTTTTGGCCTGGCTCAAAACACCTTTCCTGAATGAGATTATCATGCCATCGTTTCATTTTTTCCTTGTACAACTTAGCATTTTCATATGAGTTCATTTTAAATTCATCTAAGTTGTTTAACTGAAGCAACCTATTCTCAGAGGACTGTTTGTAATCCATGTTCAGCCTTCCAAGAGCCCAGTAGGCCTTGTATTCTAACTCTAATGGTAAGTGACATGCCTTGCCAAAAATGAGTCTATATGGTGAGCAACCTATTGGAGTTCTATAGGCTGTTCTATAGGCTCACAGGGAGTCTTCTAGCTTTAGTGACCAGTCCTTTCTAGAAGGACCAACCACTTTTTCTAAAATTTTCTTTATCTCCCTATTGGTAACCTCCACCTGCCCACTTGTTTGTGGGTGATAGGGTGTTGCCACCCTATGTTTGACACCATATTTTGTTAGGAGACTCTCAAACTGCCTACTTATGAAGTGGCTGCCTCCATCACTAATTATGCATCTAGGTGTACCAAACCTTGTAAAGATGTAGCTCTTTAGGAACTTGCACACTATTTTGGTTTCATTAGTGGGGGAGGCCACTGCCTCCACCCATTTGGATACATAGTCTATAACTACAAGAATGTATTTATTACCATTTGAAGGGGGGAAGGGACCCATGAAATCTATCCCCCACACATCAAACACTTCAACCTCAAGAATAGGATTTAGAGGCATCTCATTCCTACGTGTGATATTGCCAGTCCTCTGACACCTATCACACTTACTAGCTATTGTATATGCATCCTTAAAAATGCTTGGCCAATAAAAGCCAGATTCCAATACCTTGGCAGCAGTCCTTACTCCACCATAATGCCCTCCATATGGAGAGCTATGGCAGCTGTGCAGAATTTGGTTTTGCTCATTTTCTGGAACACATTTTCTCAAAATCTGATCTGCACATTTTTTAAATAGATGAGGTTCATCCCAAAAATAAAATTGCACATCATGGAGAAATTTATTTCTCTTATGTGTGTTCAAATCATCAGGCAGCACTCCTGCGGCCAAGTAATTGGCAAAATCAGCATACCAAGGGGTGCTTCAGGCACTTATGGCTAACAAAGATTCATCAGGGAACATGTCCCTGATTGGTACAGAATCTTGTTCTGTTTCATTGGACCTAAGCCTAGACAAGTGGTCAACTATTTGATTTTGGGTGCCACTCCTATCTACTATTTTTACTTGGAATTCTTGTAGGAGTAACATCCACCTAATGAGCCTTGGCTTACTGTCTTTCTTCTCCATTACGTATTTAATTGTTGAATGGTCTGTGTGTATAATTACCTCAACCCCAAACAAATAGCTCCTGAATTTTTCAAATGCAAATATCACTGCAAGGAGCTCTTTTTCGGTCACAGTATAATTCAATTAGGCACCTTGCAAGACCTTGCTTGCATAATAGATGGAATGAAAAATCTTATCCTTCCTCTGTCCTAGCACAACACCTAGGGCCCACTCACTAGCATCAGTCATCATCTCAAAAGGCAGGGACCAATCTGGTGCCACAATTATGGGAGCTAAAACCAGTTTGGCTTTTAGCTCTTCAAAGGCCTTCAAGCAAGGCTCATCAAAATTAAAGGGTTTGTTAGCCTCCAGTAGACTACTTAAGGGCTTAGCCACCTTAGAGAAATCCTTTATAAATCATCTATAAAACCCAGCATGGCCTAAAAAGCTTCTTATTGACATCTCTAGGTGGTGGTAGCTTATCAATGAGTGCAATCTTAGCCTTATCTACCTCTAAACCAGATTTTGAAACCTTATGGCCTAGGACTATACCCTCTTGCACCATAAAATGACATTTTTCCCAATTCAAAACCAAATTAGTCTCCTCACATCTCTGTAAAACTCTAGACAAATTCAGCAAGCAATTTTCAAATGAGTCTCCAAATACAGAGAAGTCATCCATGAAGACTTCTACATACTTATCAATCATGTCAATAAAAATGGCAGTCATGCACCTTTGAAAGGTGGCAGGGGCATTACAAAGCCCAAAAGACATTCTCCTAAATGCAAATGTGCCATATGGACATGTGAATGTCGTTTTATGCTGGTCTTCTGGAGCTAAGGGTATCTGGTTATAACCAGAATACCCATCAAGGAAGCAGAAATATTCTTGGCCAGCAAGCTTGTCAAGCATTTGATCTATGAAAGGTAAGGGGAAATGATCTTTTTTAGTGGCTGCATTTAATTTCCTAAAGTCTTGACAAATCCTCCAACCGGTTATGGTTCTAGTTGGAATAAGCTCATTTTTTTCATTGAGCACGACTGTGATACCTCCCTTTTTAGGGACACAGTGCAAAGGACTTACCCAACTACTATCACAAATGGGATATATCACACCAACATCCAACCATTTAATCACTTCCTTGTTTACCACTTCTTTCATGGTAGGGTTGAGCCTTCTTTGAGGCTCGATAGAACAGGCGTTTTCATCAACTAGCCTTATCCTATGCATACAAAAAGAAGGGCTAATACCTCTAATGTCAGCCATGGTCCAGCCAATGGCTTTCTTGTGATTTTTAAGCACACTTAGGAGCTGATTCTCCTCATTATTTTTGAGGGCAGCAGCTACAATTAAAGGGAGGGTATTATCTCTTCCTAGAAAAGCATATTTAAGGTGAGTTGGGAGTTCTTTCAACTCCACTTCAGGTGGTTCCACAATGGAAGGTTTAAGAGGTTTGGTGACTCTCTCATGAAGCCCTAGGGACTCAAAATGTTTGTCACCAAAGAACTTAGTAGGATAAGACTTCAATGCACATGCATGATCATGATTAGATGCAATATTTTCATAAAATTCAAAAATGGCAGAATCACATGCAGAGTCATTTATTTCCAAATTTTCGTGTAAATGGGCAACAACTAAAGTATCAATTACAGATATAGCAGAACAATCATCAACATCATCATCTACATATTTCATGGCTTTAAAAACACTAAAGGTCATAGTTTCATCATTTACCCTCATTGTTAACTCTCCTTTTTTCACATTTATCATTGCACCCCCTGTAGCTAAAAATGGTCTTCCTACTATAATAGGAATATTTTCATCAACTTCACAATCAAGGATAATGAAGTCAGCTGGAAAAATAAATTTTTCCACTTTAACTAAAATATTTTCCACTTTTCCTTCAGGGTATACAATAGACCTATTAGCTAATTGGAGAGTTAATATTGTGCGTGGAGAGTTTATTCCTAATTGCTTAAAAATAGAAGCATGCATCAAATTAATACTAGAACCTAAATCACATAAAGCTCTACCAATATAATTATCTCCTATAACACATGGAATAGTAAAAGAATCTGGATCCTCCATTTTAGGAGGTACTTTTGTAGAGACAATGCTGCTGCATTCTTTGGTAAGTGCCACTGTTTCGAACTCCTCTATTCTCCTCTTTCTTGATAGGATGTCCTTCATGAATTTGATGTAGCTTGGCATGTGTTGAAGGGCCTCCACAAATGGAATGTTGATCTGGAGTTGCTTGAGGATGTCTAAGAACCTTTTAAAGTGCTGCTCCTGGTTCTGTTTTTGTAGCCTTTGTGGAAATGGAATCTGCCTTGCCCTTGATCTTGGTGAAATGCCTTCATTTTGCTGCATAGGTTTGGGTGGCTCCTTTGATTTAGGTGCTGATTTTTCTGTTTTTCCCAAATCACCTTGCTCCTTGTTGTTTTCTGAGTCTTGCACTTCAATTACATTAGGCTCTTCCTCTTCTTCAATTGGTTGAACATTTTTTTCTGCCAACTTCCTCAAGGTAGAAGGCCTAATAACATGCTCTGGTTGTTCAACCTCTCTTCCATTTCTCAAATGGAGAGCCTTACAAGATTCCTTTCCCTCTCTCCTTGGTGCTTCAGTATCACTAGGAAGTGTTCCCACCGGTCTATTGCTAAGAGAGGATGCAATCTGCCCCATTTGTGTCTATAAGCTTTTTAAGATTGCTCCATGACTTTGAAGCATGGCCTCATGATTTTGCAGCATCCGGTTTGACCACTGATCATTAGGAAGAGGCTGAGTTTCTGCATTAGATTTCCCTTGCTGATCTTGAGGCATTTGTGAGTTGAAACCGGGTGAAAATGGGACTTTTGGTTGATAAGGTTGCTGCCCTCCTTGGAAGGGCTGATTCTGATTTCTATTTCCAACATTTTGATGGTAATTTTGGCCCTGATTCTGGCCAAAATTCCCACCTTGTTGCTGCCATCTGTCTTGGTTATAATTTCCTCTATTATTGTAGTTTTTGTTGTAGTCACCAACATAGAAGGCTGAAGAGGGGTTGCTTGGGCATTCTTTGAACAAATGAGCTCCATAACAAAGTGAGCAGATTGGTGTTGTTGCAGCCACTTGAGCAGGTGGTTGCTGTTTGGTCTCAGCCATTTGCTTGACTAAAACCTCGAAAGTGTTATGCATTGCTGCCATCTCAGCTGCCATTGAAGTTATTTCAGTCACTTCATAAAGTCCAGCTGCCTTCTTTGGAGCTTCATCTCTTTGTTCAGGCCATTGGCAGCTATTTTGGCTTATCCTCTCAAGTGTCTCAAAAGCTTCTGGATACCTTTTCAATAAAAACATTCCATTGGCAGTGGCATCCAAGTGAGTTTTGCCTTGGTGACTCAATCCTCTATAGAAAATCTGAATGGTAGCCCATTTAGGAAGACCATGGGTAGGACACTTTTTAATCAACCCCTTAAATCTAGTCCATCTCTCATGGATTGACTCATCAACATACTGTCTGAACCCTGTTATGTCATCCCTCAAATCACACACCTTTGTGGGTGGGAAAAACCGCATAAGGAAGGCTTCTCCAAGCTCCTTCCATGTGGTGATGGACTGTGCAGGCAAATCTTCTACCCATTCTTCTGCTGCCCCAGCTAAAGAGAAGGGAAACAGCCTCATTCTCATGGCATATGTGGACACTCCATGAACAGAAAATGTATCGAAAATTTTCATAAATTTTGTAATATGCTTGTGGGGATCTTCCTTGGGTAATCCATGGTATTGAGTCATGGATTGCAGCAACTGTATCATCCCTGGTTTGAGATCAAAATTCCCCTCCACTCCAGGCTGGACAATACCAGGAATTACTCCATCAAGTGATGGAATAGCATATTCAGCAATGGGAAGCTCTTCATCCACCATAACTAGAGCATGGTTGACATTCCCATTGCCATTTACATTTTCTTCAATAATTCAGCAACAATTGTGTAATACTGCTTGTTACTGTAATCAAAATTGAATTCTGCAGAAATCTCACAAGAACTTGAAATTGGAGTCAGTAGATAACAAGACAAATATGTAAAAAGGAAAAAGATTCAATAATAAAAAAAATAAAAAATCAAGAAGTTTAAAATAGAATCACAAAAAGAAAATAAAATCAAACACCGTTCCCCGGCAACGACGCCATTTTGTTGGGTAGTATTTTTCTCAAAAGAAAGAGTTATCGTTCTCAGGGAACAGGTTGTTTAATTTTCCTTTTTTATTCCAATTTCTAATTTCTTGAATTTAAGTAATCAATCTTTTAAAACTAAGAAAATTCTAAATGAAACAAGGTACTTATTAGACTTGCATTAAACAAAATTTAACAGAGGAATATCTAATCACAATTGTATCAATTATAAGGTTCTGGAATTCTTTGAATCATGGATGAAGGAAAAATTTCGCATTCCTGCGTTTTATAACTGCTACGGCACTTTAGTATCAGAATTCGAATTACTATGGCTATTTTATCTAAAACTTCCCAGTTCCAGATTTTAATCTTTAGAAGGATCTTTTCCCAAAGTCTTCTAAATCTTTAAAAATTGTATCAAAGACCTCCTTGGGTTATCCCTAACCTCAAGGGTTCAATTAACAAGGGACATAACCTGATTTCCCAATCTCAGTTATGCAAAAATTATTCCAAGATCCATTCCCATGGTGTTCTTGGACATAAAATCAAAATCTTGCTAATCAAATGAAACTAAAGAAAGACATCACAATATTCAGAAAATTAAAGATCACCCAATCATCGTGAATCCCAGAAAGGAAAAGATCAAAAACCCATATTCAAAAATATTACAAATCTAAAAGTAAAGAAACATGCATCACAAACATTCATGAAAGAAAACTCAAGGTAAAGTTACAAACCGGTTCTTAAAGAGTCAAGGTTCCTAAACTAGAGCTAGGAAGAAAAAGATCAGAAATGTGAAAACAGTAGCTCGTATGCAGATCCGTGGTTCCTTTCCTTGAAGTTGCGTTGTCAATGCACTTCGAGATCAAGAATTGAAGAACAAGCACCAGCTTTCAAGAAATTACTCAATACTCAGATTCGAAGAGAGAAAATACAAAGATTCTAAACGTAAAACTGAAACTAACAAGTACGGTATCTGACCCTAATGACTCAGACTCCTATTTAACTAAAAACTAAAAAGCTACCTCAAAATGCATTGTTGTCCATCCATCTCTTTGTCCATCCAATGGTTCAGATTTGATCTTGCTTTCAAAGAGTTGATCTTGCTTTCAAACTGCAGTAAAAATAATAAAAGAGAGTAATAAAACATTAGTTTAACTCTTTCTCTCTCTTTTTTACCTTTGGGCTGATTGGCACTCATTTGGCCCATTACCATGCACTAATATCCAGCCTTCACCTCAAATATTATAAAAACTAAGCCATTAAAAATAGTCATAATTGATAGCTAACAGTAAGGACCAAAAAACTTCTTTTGTACGCATCAGGAAGAATAACTTCACACTCTATATACAATTTGCCATGTACGCTCCTCTACATCCATTACTCTCTCCAGAAGCACCCCACCAATCATATGATAGCATCTTCTAGATTGATCATGTGGCTGAATGGTATAAGAACCAAACAGTGCTCATTAACTCTCATTTGCAACTGCTTGTTCATCTATTCGTTCTTTGCGAAGGTAAAGATAGGGAAGTTTAAAATATTGGAAAGATTTTGAGCATTTTATTTTTTTAATTCAGTATAAACCATTTCTTATATTTCTATACATTCCACAAAATGATATAGAATAAAATGCAATAACATCCACATTCCTAATTTGATAAATAATACAAAATCATATGTAAAGATTTCAAAACATCACGCTTTTCACAATACTTACTCATAAATTTCTATATCAGAATCTCATACAGAAAAAATTCTTTTATTTTTTCAGTATGCAATCAAAGTATATGCTGAAAATGAAAATGGTCTATTACCAAGTTTATAGATTCAGCCAGTGTTTTTGAAATGTAAAGAAATTAACCATCAAGAACAAAACATCGAAAGGCAAATCTACCAACACATTGACAAATAAATATAGGAAAGGAACAAAATTTTAAGTAGCACACACAGTCATAAGAAGAAAAACAGAACAGCTGAACATATTTTAAAATAAAATATTATTGTCTTCTATATAGATGACAAATTTGGGAGGAAAAAAATGATAAAATCAAGAAATTTTCACCACAATATTATCATCTTCAATTTTAAAAGAACATTTATGGTAACTAAACTAGGTCATAAAAGACTGTAATATGTTATTCTAATGACTTGTATAATAAATGAATTAGGTTAAATTAGGCTAAAAATTGAACTAGATAATTTTGGCAATGGCTTCAGGACTGAATAAAAATATCTTAAAATTACAAGTATATACAAAATCATGATTTTTTTGAAAATATTAAAGGACACTAAGACCCTTTAAAATTAAAATTGGGCACGCCACCCTTATTTGTAGTATTCTAAATAGGTAACTTATTTGATCGATATGACACTATCATATTGACCAAATTTCTATTTTCATAATATCTATCGTGTAATTATATATTAACAATAGATATTTTAAAATAATTTGATATTATAATATTATTTGATTGGATAATAGATTGAAATTAAATTTACTTTATTATATTCAGTAACCAGCCATTTATTTAGTAGTACTTTTCACTTTTGAGTCATTTTGTATTTTATTTTATTTTCAAAATTTATACTATCTATTTTTAATGAGATACATGTGTTGACTTGTCTGTTTGTCAATTTGAAGGTAATATTTGACTAATGTTGTGATGGGGGTTAACTTGAATTAATTATAAACAAAATATAATTAATTCTTAAAAACTTTGATCTGCTCCCCTATTTATATTGCTATTTCTAATGCATGCCTGCTAATTGGTAGTTAAATTCAATATTAGTTAATATTGTTATTTACTTGCTAAGGTTTATAATGAATTTTAAACTCAAACTAACCTGTAATTAAATAATAATGTCAAAATAACCACTTTTACTTTATTGAAATCTATTGAGTAATAACAAGAAATGTTAAAATACTATTTTGAACTATTGATATATATTATTTTTTTAGATCAGTCTTTCAACAGTTTAAGTCTGCCAAGGAAGCTTACCTAAGAAGTGAGCATTTAAATGCAAAACAACATTTCATCAAGGCAAGAGAAAAATTAGAGATAGCTCATGAGCTTAACTGTAAGGCAACGACAACAATTTTAAATAATATAACCAGTTAGTTGACGTGGCAAGGGAAGGTGTAATGATAGGGGTTTAATTAGCTGACGTGGGAAATAAGTGTGTAAGCATAAATAGTAGCTATTGGTGTAACAAAAGATTTATTGATGAAATAAGAAAGACTTGAGTTCGTTATTCAGTAGGGCATTGTTTTCAAAAATATAAATTTATAATATATAAAAAATCAGCATATGAATAATACTTTTTTTTATTAAAAAGTTTGTGATGATTGTGTTCTCAAATGCATTAATGTACCATTGAAATCTCATTTGATTAAAGAAAGGTCACCGAAGAAAGATATATACATAATCCATCTAGAAAAAGCCTTGGAAATTATGAGGTAAGATAATGTTTAATATTTTTATTTTGAAATGTTGAGTAAATTTTTATGAACATGAATTAATTTTATGTAAGTATAATTTTCTCAAAAAATTATCTAAAACTTACATTTTCTTCTGACATTTTAAAACTTACATAAAATGTAATTCTCAAATACTTTGAGATGCTCCCCCCAATTATGTTGCATTTTCTGATACATGCCTCTTAATTTGTAGTTGAATTCAGCATTAGTTAATATTGTTATTTACTTGCTAAGGTTTATAATGAATTTTAAATTAAGACTAACCTGTAATTAAATTAATAATGTAAAAATAATCACTTTTAATTTATTGAAATCTATTGAGTAATAACAAGAAATGTTAAAATATTCTTTTAATATATTGATATATTTTATTTTTTCAGGTCAGTCTCTCAACAGTTTAAGTCTGTCAATAAAGCTTATAAGAGGTCAGCATTTAAATGCAAAATAATATTCCATGAAGGCAAGACAAAAATTAGAGATGGCTCATGAGCTTAACTGTAAGGCAGCAACCATAATTTTAAATAGGGAAAAATTCACCAATACTCCTGTGGTTTGCTTCAGAAACATCTATGCCCCTGTGATTTTTTTATCACATATGCCCTCGTGCTTTGTAAAAAATAACAAACCACAGGGGCATATGTGATAAAAAAATATACCATTTTACAAACCACAGAGGCATATGCGATAGGAAAAAACCACAGAGGCATAGGTGATTCTGGAGCAAACCACATGGGCATATGTGATTCTGGAGCAAACCACAGAAGCATACGTGATTCTAGAGCAAAGCACAAGGGCATTAGTGAACTTTTCCCTTTTAAATGTTAAAAATCGCACAAATGGCATATGGAGATTGGATTTGCATGGTCCCTATGCAAAAGAAGCTATACAAGCATTGCGAGAACTTTTAGAGAAAATCGAAAGTGAGGGTTGTCAATAACTCATTTTCCTTCAAATAAAAATAATAAGGAAAATGAGAGGTGTCAAAATGGGTTAACACCCACGGACCATAACCCATTAAGGCCTTTTGTGGTAAGGCCTTTTTTAGCTTTTTACCCTCAAAGCTCTATAATTTAGTGGGCTGGGTTAGGCTGACCCGCGGCCAAACTCTTTCTTTCATCAAAATTTTATTATTTAAAAAATTAAAAATTATATAAATTTAAATATTTATAAATATAAGTAAAAATTGTTGTGAATTTGATGGATAATATAAGAGAAAGTGAAATATGAAAGAAAGGAAAATAAAGTGTAAAAAAAAAAGAATAAAATAAAAAT